TCATCACCGCTTCCCCAGATTCCGAAAGCTTGACCAAATACAGTAACCTCGACGTCGGTCGTTGAAAGCTCGTGAGGTTTAGCCTGCTGATTTTTTAACGGCGTCAAGCATGGCAGATGTAAAAGGGCCGGTGATACACCGACCGGGGTCAACTTCTGGTTGCCGAAGACAGTATATGGAGTCATGTAGTTTGCGATGAAACCGAATGAATAGATAGAAGGTCCGATAGGTATTCACGATGGAGTCCTTGTATCGTATGATCCTGTTGGCAGCTTTGCTGCCTTTCTCAGCTGCCGTCAGCCCCACGGTTGATCTTGGGTATGGCAAGTACAAAGGCAACGTCCTCGATAATGGTGTCTCGGAATGGCTTGCAGTTCGATATGCCGCCGCGCCAGTCAAGGACTTGAGGTTCAAGCTTCCAGAAGATCCTGTCCGTATGAGAGCCGTTCAGGATGCCACCAAGGTAGGTCAGGCCACTTCTCCGTCGGCCTAGGGACCCCTGCTAAAACTCTGCAGCGGGGACCAGTATGCATCGGAACGGATTCTGATCCCAAGATCATTGGCGATACTCAATCCGAAGACTGCCTCTTCCTGAACATCTGGGCTCCGACAAAAGCCTCAGCGAAGGACAAGCTTCCCGTATATATCTATATCCAAGGCGGCGGCTTTAATGGCAACTCAAATGCCAACGCAAACGGTACTGCTCTCGTCGTTGCAGGCGACTTGGACATGATCGTCGTTTCCATCAACTATCGTGTCGGCGTATACGGTTTTCTCAACGATGCTGACCAGATCACTCCAAATGTCGGTCTTCATGATCAGCGAAAGGCGTTCCAATGGGTCCAGAAGCACATCTCCAAGTTCGGCGGTAACCCTGACCATGTTGTCATCGGTGGCGAGTCTGCTGGTGCTGCGAGTGTCAGTCTGCATCTCAGTGCCTATGGAGGCAAAGATGAAGGTCTCTTCCACGGCGCAATTGCCCAATCCATTTCGTTCGGGTCTCTTCTCACGGAGAAGGAATCTGTGTATCAGTTCAACACCCTGGCGGTGCGCCTTGGCTGCGTCGGTGTGAAGAAGGACATCCTTCCCTGCATTCGTTCGAAGTCGTCCCAGGAAATTCAGAAGGTCAACAAGAACCTTCCTAACCTCGGCAGTACCACGCCGCCGCAATTTATGTGGACTCCGAGTATCGATGGCAAGCTCGTACCTGATGTGACTTATCGGGTGTTTGAGGAAGGGAAATTTGTAAAGGTACCGCTAATGACCGGTGACGACACAAATGGAGGTACCAATTTCACACCGGTGAATACTTCTTCTGTGATGGAGAGCAACGAGTTTATTAAAGCGAACTTCCCCTTCATAACTCTAACACAGTTAGGGCAAATCAACGAACTCTATCCCAATAAGAACGAGTCTTGCCCTAACCCTGGCTGCTGGTGGCGTCAAGTCAGTGACGTCTATGGAGATATGAGATATATGTGCTCCTCAATGTATGTCTCTAATGCACTCACACTACACGGCGTCCCCAACTCTTGGAACTATTGGTATGACGTCGAGGACCCCGCCCAGATGGCCGCGGGCTACGGTGTTCCTCATGTCGTGGAAAACCAAGCCGTATTTGGTCCGGGACCGGGCTCGCCAGCCAGCTATCTCAATGGCGGGAAGAATGTCCCCGTGGTCCCTGTGATCCAAGCATATTGGACAAGCTTCATTCGGACCTTGGATCCGAACACGCATCGTGATAAGAGCGCTGTAAAGTGGGAGCAATGGACTGAAAAAGGGCGGAGGCGGCTGAAGTTTGAGACAGGGGGTAAAACCAAGATGGAGAAGCCGAGCAAAGACTTACAAAAGAAGTGCGATTACTGGGCCGATATTGGACCCAGTATTCGGCAGTAAACAAGAATAGGGTTACAAGGCGCAGTTGTGTATCTGCCTAAGGCACAAAGGTTATGCCTTAGGCAGATATCATATGACAGGAACACGACATTTGTTATTCGCCATATCGACTTATTAGGCTTTCCACTTCGGGTCTCAACTACAGATAACACATGTGACTCTCAACCTAGACATCATGCCACAGTGTTACACCGATTAGTGCATCATAAGTTTGATGTCATAAAAAACCTAAAGATGGCTCAACTATAAAATCCTTCCTCGATCTTTTGTCAGGTGTAAGATCAGATGACCCGTCCATCGGAGAAATTACCGCGGCTGTCTGAGGTAAGCCACAAGCCTCAACTATAGAATACACATCTCATTCATAATTTGACCATTACCTACGCCGGAGAGGGGTGTTTTTGGATATCAAGCAGTAGACAGAAAAGACTGTCGCTGTTATTTTTGATCAATAATATCATATTAGCCTAATATAACAGAATATCAGGGGTAATAAAATAAGGTAAACACTCTTTTCTCCCTTTGACAGCTGTTTAACCCCCCCTCCCGCTATGGTATACTCGAATGCCTGAGCCGAGAAAAGATCACTGCACTGTCGAATTTTAAGTTTTCGAAACACAACGGCCACAGGAGCCCTTGGCGGACGTGGATAACGCCCTTGAAGAGACGCCTGGATCATGTTTTGGAATATTTCCTTGCATGTGACGGTTTTCAGCAACAGAATACAGACTCGAAGAACATTATAAGAGCGACCATTCCCTCAGTCTGGTATACTCACTGTCTTTTATCATCACGCTCATACCATGATCAACAACTAATTCCATTTATTCCTTCACTCCTCAATATGCCACTATGGCTTCCCTACAGGATATGCCTAATGAGCTCGTCCTAATCATGGCAGCTGAAGCACCGTTCTCCACCCTCACTGCTTTACGACTGACATGCAGACGGTTCAACGACGTCACGATTATGACATTTGGGAGGAGATTCTTTCATGTACGCAATATCATGCTCCATGAGAAAAGTGTCCAGAGTCTCGTTTCAATCGCGAAACACCCTGTCTTCGCTTCTTGTGTCCGAACGGTTGGCTTTGCACCCAGTTTCTTGAGAAGTAACTGGCTCGGGTTTGAGCAAGAATGCGAAGCCCGTCTGAACGATGGTGGTAAGCACGATATTTAACTCCAGGAATAAGAATAAAGAAGTGCTCACATAACACCAGCAGAGGTGATAAAATTTGAGAACATAAAGGACATACCCCAGCGGTTGCCGTCATTATCCTTCATATCTACCATAGACCAGGCCTTTGCGAGACTCCCAAATTGTAACACAGTCTCACTCACCAATGCTCAACGACCTTGGGGCTTAAGTAAACTTGCAACACACGAGCCTATGAGAGTCCAGAACTATGATCAGTTCGGAACGGCCAAAGGTAGTTTGTATATCCGATATTTGATTGGATATATATTTACCCTGAGCACCAAATTTGGCATTACGAATGTGGAGATTTTTGCCGACAAAACCTGCCACAAACCCTTGTACGGGGTTTGTTGCCAGTGTTGCAGCTCTATAGGAATATATGACGTTTGCATGGCACAGCCTGGTGCCATCTCAAACCTAGAGTCCTTGAAGATGACTGTGCACGCACGACCTCGGGCTTGGCCAAACGTCGCGTTTTCCCAATTGCTTTCGTGCTTCCCCCAGCTATCAAGCTTAACACTGGACTTTGATGAGAGGTCTGAAGATAGCCTCTACTTCTCGAGTTTCGAAATACCAGGGCTGAGAGAGCTCACACTCTCTTGCAGACATTGTCATCCAAGCGAACTAGTGGACATGATGAGGCGCCACGAAGAGACCCTGGAGCGTGTGGCTTTCCACGATGTCTTGTTTACAGATCTGGAAGGTTGGTTCTTATTGGTGGGCGTTATATGTCGGATGCCGAAGATACAGGTTTTTATTTATTGGGCGGTAGTCCCAAGGATGTGGTGGGACGTGTGTATTGACCACAGTGGAAAGCTCCATCCATTGGCTTGGGAACTGTCTCAGATCAGGGATCTGAAGGATTATAAGGATAAAAAAAGGTTCCAAGACTTGCTCTATCGAATCAAAGATTGGGTCCATGGGTAGAAAAACATAGTCATTCTGCGCGTCAATTTGCGCTTCCAAAAGTTCAATATATCTTGACAGCTGTTTGCTTCTGACACCTCGTGATAACTCGATTGGTACTTTTGTTTCTGCTCTCATGAACTGGGCTCTGGAGTAAGGTTAGGGTTTTAAAAGAAGCTTCAGCCCCCAGGGCACAAAGGTAAAGGACGCCAATAAACACATACGGGCAAAATAGTCTCTGCCCTCACTATCACCTAGGAATGAACTGGGCTCATGTCCGCACGAACGGAGCTTGCGTGGTCGACGTCTGTTTCTTTGAATATGCTTCAGGAACCAGAATAAGAAGGTAATATTGACAGGGAACTCAGATGGTACTAGTCCCCAGCGTTTCCAGGCAGCGGCATATTCCCCCTCCTCGTTCTGTTTCAGCATGTGACAATTCCCGAAGCAGGATTCACGAAGGAAATACAAACGCACCAAACAACGTCAACATCCTACGAGCTGCCTTTTACATAATTAAGCAGCATACTTCACATGTAGGACCGACAAAGAGCATTCAGAGTTACATTCCTCGGCGTGCGAAATCCGTTTATCGGCCGATCGCCCGCTTTGGGCCTTAACTGCGATCTTTTAAAGATCTACAGAGGTCATAGCGCCCCATGGGGAAAGCTGTGCCGTTCTCGACTGGCCGAGAAACGAGGGGAATCCTGGCCCTGAGGTTACAACGGCATGCGAAATCGTGGGGAAGTGCAGTTTATCAGGGATCTCTTGGACAGGGAATAGGGCTCACATGGCTTCTGATTCATTGAAGGAAACTGAGAATGCCGAGCTCAGGAGAACATGCGTGATTGAGACAGGAAGGCCATGGTTATATGTGATTCACTATAGAAGAATTCGTCTATAAATACTGAGACTTTGTCCTCACAACAGACAGCCAACCATCTCGACACAAACACTCTACAACTCAGTCTCCAGCTTTCAATCAGAAACCATTCTTCATCATGCAGTTCTCCAGCTCTTTCCTCGTCGCTGCTCTCTTCGGCACTGCCTTTGCCATGCCCCAGGCCAACCCTACTGATTGCCCGGCGACCTCTGCTATCCCTACCTGCGGTGTAAGCCAACTCTGAAAAGCCGCGGTCTTTCAAGTGCTAATAGTGTTTTCAAAGGCTCCCTGCATCACCTCCGCCGCCTCCGCCGTTGGCTGCAGCAACATTGCTTGCCAGTGCGCCAGCTCCAGCGCCATTCAGGCTTCGGCCATCAACTGTGTCCTTGACAACTGTGGCTTCCTCGAGGCTCTCCAGGTTCAGGCTTCTGCCGCCGCTGTCTGCACTGCTTGCGCTTAGATACAGTCGTGAGGATGGTCTTTGTCAAGATGTCTTGCCAACTCGCTGCGGAACTAGTCTCTTTCCAAGTATATAGTATCCAATTGAGTTAGAAGTAACATGAAAACGATTCATATACATGTGTCCTGATTAATGCTAGATTTGACAAGGGAGGGCCCTCAACGTACCAACCATGGATGTAACCTTTTAAAGCGGAACCCGTAACAAGTCTCGGTAAGCTTAGTACTACTGTAAGCAGTTGCTGCCATGAAAGGGGGGAGGGCTACTTCGGTTGCTATTGGCTACTCATTACTACAGACGTCAAATTAGCAGATCCTTGATATATGGTAAATGCCTTCGGCACTAAGTTGTCTATGCTGATACAAGCTCTTAGCCATAAGTTAACTACAAATAACACAGTTAACTTCTAACAGACGAACTCCATTATCCTATCTAAGGAACTAATAAAACATAAAAATGCAAACTATAAAACTCTAAAGGATAACTCAACCAGTTGCCTTTATGGGTTCAAAAAGCGCTGTTGCATTCGCCAAGACGATCCAACTCAGCACGACACAATGAACACAACCGGCCAAGGCTCGTGTTTAACTATCAAAATTGGTAGGTCTCTATAAGGGTACAACATAGCTTTCCTTAATACTTGGCGATCAAGCTTCAAAACTAGGATTTACCTCTCGCTATCTTATCAATTCTTCTGCGATTGATCAGATGCAATCAGCTATGGAATTAGGTGTCAGAGAAATGCTGGGTTATTGACCATGTAGAAAGATGCTGAAAGTTGGTGATACTAAGGTTGGGTTCTCCGTCGCCTCTGTGATCCAAAACTAAGTCAACCACCTTCGTCTAGATGCTTTTAGGTACAGTATCAATCAGTAAAACCGAGAGAAACTACAACATTGTGGATTTCAAGAATCTGATATGTAGTCAGAGGACGGCGATAACCATGTGGATGACTTGACAGGACCGACAGATCCGAATATGGAGGGTGGCATGTAGCAACAAAAGTGGATGCCCGAAGTAATAAATTTTGAGGAGCCTAACACAGACTATCCAGGCCGAATATACGAGATCGTCATGTGAAGCTGCTACTTTGTCGTCGAACCGTCTATTGTTGTCTCCAGATACCCCAAAATTGCAGCATAGTGAAGCTGAAAGAAGTTGGTGAGGGGGGCTACCTGGTTCCGCAATAACCGAATGGGTTGGCTATGGGATACTCGGTGATAAAGGAGAAAAGCTGCTCAGTTCTATTTATCAAGTATGTCATAGGATATCACTTAAGCTAAAGAAAAAGCTTATAATATTTAGTGACAGTTAACCTTTGCTATAAATACTTTACTGTTGAAAGATTGAGGAGGCATAAGAGCATCGGAGGGACTTGAAACGAGAATTTCGTTTCAAGAGGTCCGGCTAAATATCAGGTATAGTATAGTGGGCTTAGTTTCCACGGACTTGTTGGTTGAGTTGGAGTTCAGCCGACATAGGTCCCCGGCTAGAACGGCAATATTATTTTCACGACTACTGCGGAGTGTCGCAGAAGGCAACCCTCACATTCAAAAGCACGACCTGCCTTACCAGTAACGGATACGCTTGGTCAGGCGGATTTATCTTCTTTGACTGCAACTACATTCGTGAGCAGATGTGCTTCTCCGACCGTGGCCTTGAACATAGTGAAGATATGCCCGATCGCGATACAAAATTGCCTGACATCAAGTGTACCTCTTCACACAAGCCTGACGTTGTCGGAGCGCATGGATACGAGTTCTTTGTATACGGCACTGATTTGGCGAAGAAGTATGGGAAGGTTGCGTTGAATGATGAGGAAACGAAAGAAATCTTGGCACTTGTTAAGGGTTCATCTGAATCCTCGCTGAAGGATTTGCTGGCAAAGTTTGGGCACAGTGCTGTGAAGGAGGGGGAGATTCAAGATGAGTAGGAGACTGATTCAGAGCGAATGACCAAAGCTAACCTTGATGGCGTTGAATCGATATCTTCATTGCTCTGTACTCCTGTATCGGCTGGCCAGTTGTGACATGGAACACGAGATGCCACGGCCATAATTCCACCATGTATCAGCTACAGACCAAGACACGTGGGCAGTGACTAAAGACAGAATATTTATATATAACCTTATGAGCCGCCGTCATCCATAGTCCCAAAGTCTAACAAAGAATCAACAAGTACTGAGACAACTGATCATCAAGCCCAATATCTGCAGCAATATCAGATATAGGTACCACTGCGAGAGGTGCAGACATTTCCTTTCTGAGCAAACAGTGCTCCAGACTTGTAATAAGCGAAAAGGAAGTCGAAGCTGCATAACCACAAGCGAGACAGTGAATAGGGACGTAGGCCATTGGCATTGTGACAGCTGCTTGAGGAAGGAAAGGAATAAGTCGAAGTAGAACAACTAAGAAAGCCAAGTCACAAACATGTATACAGAGGAGCACATGATTGAAGGAGACAATCGGATGGATATGTGATCCACGGATAAGAAATACAAAATTATATGAAGCGGCGCTTTCATCCCATACTTCTCTCCTTTCTCCCAACTTCCAAGTTCAGATCAAATTCAAACGCCATTCTAAAGAATACTAAAACCGCTCGAATAATTGTTATAAAATGTGTTTTACAAAATATACCAACTTCCGGTGCGCGAAATGCGACCATCTTCTCAGCTGGAGAACAGACCATGAATGCTATGAGCATCCAGGGGAGCCAGGAAGAGGTTGCAGAATTAGCATCGAGAGGATAGACAAACCTCGCCCGAACAAAAAATGTCGAAAGTGCAGGGAGAAGAGGAAGAATGAGGCAGGACGAGAAGGGGCCACGAAGACATGAGCGTGTGAGGCACGTGATGTGAGCATCAGCTGTCAGGTCTATCAACTCAAATTGATTTCACGAGAAGGCGGTGGATGGCTGTGTACTGGATGGGGGTCTATGATTCGGTGCTAAGTAAGAGTAAATGGTTGATTCCTGAGATTTCCCTACTGCTCAAATATCCACGAAAGCTGCCTTGTACCTTAGTATATCCTCCCATTAGTGTAGTCTTATCAAAGGCAAAACCATTGGCCTCAGAAAGATGTGCACTCCAGTGGCAGTCAATAATTTTGCATTGAATTTGTCGATATCCTTTCCTATGCAAAGAAAAGAGAATTATTTGCCTATTCAGACCAGCCAGAGAAAGACGGGACAAAACATTGTCCGAACACATGAAGTTCCATGGTCGGCTGAACGGTCTTGGGAAAGAATGAGAAAAAATAAATAGAAGAGGAACATTGCATAACTGCAGCACATTCGTGGTGGCTGTTCAGTGAACAGCGTATGTTTGAGCTGAGGTGGTCGGTGAACACGGCAGTAGCCCACGATATCACAAAGTGAGAAACAGTATATATAACCCCCCACCTCTCTCGTCTTCAAGTATTCGTATCTTCATCTTCATCTTCACCCTCACACTCTCAACATATCCTTTTTCATACATTGAAATGTGTCGAGTTACTTTCACAAAGTACTATTGCATGGTGTGCAACGACTTCTTGTCATTCGATGAAATTTTGTCATGCCAGGGAGTCCTCTACGAGCGTATCGATAAGGCGAAAGATTGTCAGCTTGAGATTCGGGACTTGGATGAATATCTGCCATCATCGAAATGTACTCAGTGTGAGGCGAAGAGGATGATCGAAGAGGACAAAGCAGGCTTGGTAACGCACTGCAGACGAATTTGATGCAGGGCTTGTCTTGCACCTCTGTATTAGTCTAATTACACAATAGTAACATATATACAGACTGATTCAAAAGTATTTATGAGATTTTGTGATTTTAAATGTGTTCAAATTGTTTAGTCTACTTGTGTATGTTCTCAAATTCGGGTATTGTCCAGCATTTCATCCACTCTGTATTTAAAAGCTGCTCTGCAGTTGGTCGATCGCCACGGCGGTAGGATAGCATCCACCGTATCATTTCTTCAAAAGCGTGACTTTCCTTCTCACCCAGAATATCCATGTTATACTTGCGTCTTGGGTCCTGAATACTTGACTTAAACCGCACCTTCAAGTTCTCTGTACGTCTACCATTCTTTTGGCTTCCATCTTCCATAAACCACCGAGATCTCGCATCCCATTTGCTCCACCATTCATCAGGTAAGCGTCCGAGGGTATCCTGTTCTTGAGTAACATCATCCTCACTAAGCAAGAAGCTACCGAAGATGGTCCTTAGTCCCATCACTGCCCAGATGGCATGAGCCAGAGTCCAAATATCAGCGGAGAAGGACAGTGGCGTCGTTGGCTCGAAACGTGCCTCTGGAGGGCATATGTCAAGAGGCGTAGAAGACCCGAATCTCGACTTTCGGTCTGGATAGAATGCTGTGCCGAAGTCGGCGAGGAGGATCTTTGACTCAGATAGCCTAAGCTCGTCGCTTGCCTTGGCCATCCAAATCGGCCAGTAGACGTGGTTAGGGACACCTGGTGGAAGAGGTTGCCCGTCTTCTCGTACGATAGGCTCAGGTTTTGGTGGACCAAATTTCTCGTATATCTGCTGATCTGGAAGATTGTCGAGAGTGGATGGCAAGCGGAGAAGATAGTTCCCCAGGTGAAGGTCTGATGGCGAAGTCAGTATCTCGCAAATGTCCCATTGAGAAAAAGCTAATGCTCACCACCATGGACCAAGCCTCGGCTGTGAATGTATGCTACGGCATTGGCCATCTGAGCGGCAATGTATCTTGCAACTGGAAGCTGAAACATGTATAGATGAGCAGAGTCTTGTGCGTCCTGGAGACTGCATCGGGCAAGCGCTGTGACGAAGCATGGATGGGTTCCGTTCGGCCCCGTGACGCAGAAATGGTCAAGGATCGGAAGGATGCATCCCTTTCCATCATGTTCGAGTCCATGAGATGTATGGCGTGATGTCCACTTCCCGCTGGTCTGAATTTGCTATGCCAACTTTGACAGCGACGTACTTGAGAGCAGCTTCATCGCGGGCAAGCCAGATGATTGAGAAGCCGCCGTATCCAAGCTTATGTACAACGCGATATCCTCTGGCTCAATGGTCGCCGATATCTATCGGATGATAACCACCTGGACTATAGCCATACGGGCTTTCAACGTCCTCTATTGGGAGGTAAAAAACTGGAGCGGATGATGAAGTTGCTGCTCGAACGTAGCGTGGACTTGTGCCCGAAGGAAAGGCCAAATGATGTCGCAAGGTCCAAGAAGAAAGTGGGGATCGAATTCTCAAGTGCCGAAGTGCTACGCTACGCATTTCAACAATGGATCGCTGATGATGATAGGACGCGGACTTGCGATACCCAGAGGCTCTGCTACGTACAGGCTACAGTCAGCGGGCAAAGGTGGATCCTTTTTCCGCTAGGCTCCGCTCATGGCCACTCACTCACTGGATTAGGTTGCCAACTGAAACGATTGGTGCGTACCTTACAGATATCTGACTATGATCTGATTCAGAAGGCCGGCTAGGAATCGCAGCGACAAATGTTACCAAAGAGTAAGATGACCGAAGACCTATGTACTAACTATTTAGCTTTGAGCTCCAATATTCTTATTCGATGAATTATTGTGACTCCGTTTCTGCCAGTTTCCAAAAGGATTCTCGGATCCATCGGCCCTGGACGGGGTAGATTTTATAGCGCTTTCCAGTGGATGGCTCGCTGTAAGACTTGTCTTCGACCGCTACGCCACTTACGGCTAGACATAAGTTGAGCTTCAACTTAACACGCATTCACTTCCTCTCATCAACTACCGCGATGCGACAGTCTTTACGGCGAAAGTCTTGCAGTGCTTGCGCGCGCTCCAAGCGCCGCTGCAGTCTCAGTCTCCCCAGCTGCAGGCGCTGCACAGCGAAAGGCATAGAGTGCTCGTATCCCACCGTCACGCCCGTGCCGCCTCCTCTTTCAAATGCGATGCTCAGTGATTCAATTGACGCCGATGCTTTGCTTTCTCTTCAGTTGCCCTCTTTCACGTCCTCCACAACTGAAGCGTACGGCATGGAGCTCGACTCTGTAGATCGTCATGCCCATGCCCATACAGCAAACGATTATACTGCGCGCGCAGAATTTCTGGCTCATATGATGTCACTGCAGTCCACGGCATTGGCTGACAAGGGATTCAATGTCTTTATCCATTCGTCACAGACTCTGGCCTCAGATGCCTTGCGCGACGCGTTGGCTGGCAGTGCCCTACACGCTATGCGTAACCCTTCTAATGCGGGCTTCGTCGATTCTGAGATTACAAGGCGCGTCTCTAACATTGTCGCCGTCTTACTTGCAGCGCCAATGTGCGACGACATGGTCGACTCGCAAATACTTCCTTCGGTCCAAGCACTTCTTGTCTACCAATGTATGCGACTCTTCTCGCCAGGCAGTGTCAGCCAACAAACACAGGCGGAACGCGATAACATTATTCTTCAAATGTGGGCATCGCGATTGCAACTATCATTGGCTCGCGATGATGGCCTGATTGAGGCGAGCTGGGAGATTTGGGTTGAGCAGGAAGCCATCCGTCGCACGCTCATATGCATAGAGCTTGCACAGGGTACTTACACTTACCTTCGAGGGAACTGGCCCATCGGTCTCCGGTGTAATCACGACCTAAGATTCAACGCACAGAGGGCTCTTTGGGAAGCCAAGTCAGCTGCGGAGTGGCGCTTGGTCTGCGACGATTTCGCCCATCCCTCGATGCCATGCAATATGATTCGCTTACATAAAGACATTTGTGACGCAATGCCTGGTGATTTGGATGATCTAGGGGCTATATTACGCGTTACGGGTCAAGGGCTTGCGGACTTGAATACCTGGCTTCGTCACGATAAAGAAGCCTTGCAGCGATGGGGCCAAGTGGGTGTATGAGAGCACTACGTACGTACAAGTCTCGATCTAGGGTGATCTATCCCTACAAACCATGAACGCCAATGCGAAGGAATTGACGGTCTTTGTCAAGCCTATCCCTGATCGGTCCACTCTTCAACTCCTCGACATCCCAAGCCGACCACACAAATCGACCATGCAAAAAGGCAGCTTCATCCGACGCGCACCAGACGGCAAAAGATCCGGGAAGACTCACTACAAACCGTTAGGAATGCTTGTATTGCAAAAGACACATCACAACACTTACTATCGTCCCAATTTGATATCGATTCTGCCATCCCCTTCTCCCGAACTTGGTCTGTCAGAAGGGCGCCTGGATGGAAGTTGGTGATCTGAGTTTGAGAGGGATCCTTCTCGTCTGCCAGTTTCTGCATCAGCAAGGTCCCCGATCCCTTCGTCAGGGAATAAGAAGCCAAGTTTGTAGGGCCTCGGAAATCATGGATGGCACCCGATGAGACGTTGAGTATATAGTACTATGGTCCGCGCTGTCAGCG